CATGGGGAGGGGAAAATGATGACACTTTGTTCCTAAGACTTTAACAGCCACGGGGTTCCATCATAAAAGTATGATTCTTAACCCTCAAATTATCTGAGCGATTAGGATCACGAAGAGAAAATTACAAATTAATTGTTAACGATTACTTTTGTTGTGCTCTATGGAAATAAGTATAACACAGGGCCATATTCTAGTAGAGATGACTACATCTCTTCTGAATTGCTACACAAACCTTAAATATTATGGTGTAGTAATGAGTAAAGTTACATCTATGCATGTATCAACTGTAACACATACACCTTTTTCCTATCCACTTCATGTTGATATGAAAAAAAATGAGGGAAGGTTTAACCTTTGAAGAGACAACAGATAACAATAAACTGATAACCACTTTGTAAGAAAAGAAACCCTTTTGCATCAATAAACAAATTTCCCAAACATTGTGCTAAACAGGCTTTCTTCATAAGATGCTACAAATAAACATTTGTCCAGTAAATGTTATTTGTCTCATTAATACTTTATATGACTTGATTGGCACTTAAACTCCAGACACTTAAATTTTTGAATCTTATGTGTTTGCCATTCAAAACCAGTGTGTGAATTGCTAATGATTTATGGGCTTATGTTTCTTGGGAGGAGTTTTTGAACACATTTAAGCATAGTATTTGCAAGAATTCAATAAATTCAGAACTGTCATCAAATTTAGACAAGCATTTTTACGTTTCATTTCTTAAAATGCAAGGGCACAAAAATTGGTAGTCAAGCATATGGCACAGTTTTATAGGTTTGGGATTGTTTTTATAAAGTCTTTCAGAGTAGGTTTTATTTTATGTTTGCATGAGTCCTTACCCTCACTGATTGGGGTTTGAGGATATGCGTACACGAATAGTCATGCTTTTGTATGGTCAAACATTTGATATTTGACTTTTCTCGATGCTGAGTTCTTCTATGGCCCAAAGTGTTTAGTAAGTGAGCAAGCAGCCATAGGTTTTCAATCTTTGAAAATTCTTTGCGGTGACAGACATAGAAGCCTAATTGAGCCACTGTTCAGTTTTAAAGTGCCAAATGGAAGTCAACTGCCATGTGAGTTTCACAGACATGATAAATGATTTTTTCTGAAAAGAAAATCTCCGTTTGAGTGCAAAAGTTTATTAACTAAGAGTACACTGGAAAGAAGAGGAAAAGTGCAGTGAGAGAATAAAATCACCTTAATCAGCTCTCAAAAATATTTCACTCAACATTTTAAGTAAATGCTAATTTTGAAAACAATCCTAAAGCTGTAGGTAGAAATGATGTGGTTGAAATACTTGTTTGTTCTTGGTTTCAGAAGGGCTCTGTTTCTCATTTTCTTTAAAGGAGATACTGCAAAAAAGTGATAGAGGATATTACATTAAGATAATCAGCAATGGTGTTTAAGCATTTACTTAAGGAGTCTTTGGTAAAGAAGGAAATGTAGTGTTAACATTTTGAAAACATCTACCTCTCCCTAGAAGTGTCTTTCAATTTTAGGGTTAGGTTTTTATTTTTTTTAATTATGTTTTTATTACAACACTGGCACCAGAGTTGAAAATTGAGGAGAAATTTTAGCAAGAATATATTCTGCTTAAAAAGTAGATTTATGGTGAAGGCACTTTCCCCCCCTAGGAAATACATTCTGATTAGAAAATTGCCATTGTCTTTCAGATTGGGGATACTCAGGTTGATCTGTGGTTGGACAGACTAGCTTGCCTGCCAACTCTATTTAGATAAATTCAGTACTTTCACTTTGAAATTTTCTTTTCAGTTTGGAAAAAAAAAGTTTTAAATTATAGTCATTTTATAAAAATTGCTCCTAGCAAGCAAAAAAAAAAAAAAAAAAGCCTCTGGAAAACCCATAATTTAGACAAGTACCTACATTTTATTTGCTCTGTGCTGCTGAGATTCAGAATCCCTTTCCATTTACAGTTTACTTTTCACAGAGCATTATTAACTTTTTGGCTTCATACCTGATCTTCTGTCAGATGCTTTTGATTTGTAATTTAGCAAAGTATAATAAACAGTACAAAAGTCATGAATTTTGCTCTGCATCCTGAGCTCTGTGGTAGGGAAAATGTGATAAAATGTGTACCTTAAGTCTTGTTTGATGATCTCTCAAAGCAAGTTTGCCTTCTGGAAATAATTTCTGGGGTTGAAGAGCATGGTATTAGCAGATTTAATGTGGCTATTCAATGGATTGGCGAAGTACTATGTGAGGTTTAACAAAATGAGAGAGACAAATTGAACATCAACAAAAGTTACATCTGTGAAGAATTATAAATTTAATTAGAAAAAAAGGCAAACTTGAAAGACCTCATTAACTAATCAGAAGTCAAAGTTACTAGTTTAGGATTCTTGAATTTAAATTCTAAGGAGTTCTTGTTTTTGCTCTTTTGTGTTTTCACAACTCTGTCAATATGATAGGACAGTTTTTGAGTGCATTAACATGAAATGACTTCATTGTCATGTAAGATGGGCATTCATAGTGTATTGGGAAATATTTTTGCACTTCTAGAAGTACTTGAATTAAAAATACCAGATTAGGAGAAGATAAGACACAAACAAAGCTTATAGGTGTAAAGCAGAAAGTAGGAACTTTCTTAATGGCTAACAGCACTTTTCTGGAAACCACAAAATATTTTTTCTTTTGAGTGAAAAATTCTTATTATTTTTTAAATAAATTATGGTTTTAGATCTTTAAAATAGAGAAACTTTCACAGACATTGTCAAACACAAGAGAAAATTGACACCAATCAGAAATAGGTGTTCTTTTTAGATAAGTCATTATAAGAATATGTTTCCTTACTACACTGTAATCTTGTACTACACATAAAAAACTAAAAGCATGTGAAGTGTAGCATTTTGTAAACTGTAACTAATTTTGCTCACATCTGTGTCTAATTGTTGTCTGCATTCGCATTCTTGAGAGTAGATTTATTTTTCCTGGACCATGATGTGGATTCAGCTGACCAGCCTAAGTGAGGATTAGTTGTTTTAAAGTTATTTTGATTAAAGAGTCATTTTTAAATACAGTAACACACAACACATGGTTTAAATAATCCTTGAGACACAAAAGAACATATCTGAAGTATACTTAATGAAATGAAGGTCTCGGATATGGACTTTCAAAAATTGTAGTGCGTGAAAGTACAGCGAAGACTAGACTGCCGCATAGAAGAAACGTGTTACTGCAAAGATGCATTTTTTCAATAAGAAAATGTGTTAGAATAATTCTTGTTTTGAAGTTCATTTTAAATAACAACAGTCTGACTTTTCAAATCAGATGTGGTAGGCTAATCCTCAACTGTAAATATAACCAATCTTTCAAAGTACACAGTAAAACTGAAGTTATATTTCCAAGATTATGCTTTTTTGGTAATGTTAAAATAGCAATGTATTTTAACATTTAACAGAAAGTCTGTCTTCCATACTCTCTCACATAATTAAGCCAAGAGAGTTCTTAAAAGTAAGTTAGTTCTTACCTATAATTTATTCCAGGTATATAAAAGTAGGGGAGAAAAAGAAAAAAAGGAAATTTACCCATGAGGTAGATTGCTGCTATTTCTAAAAGGAACCATTTAGTTTTGCGTGAGAGCATTAATTTTAACAACAATTGCAGAAACCTGTTATCACAGAATGCACATCTGCAGGCATTAACATTTAATTTCCACTTAATACTCAAGCATCTTTTCAAAATTGTTTTTTGTCCTGCACATATTATATAAACGCATACCTAGAAATTACACGTAACATTATAGCAAAACATTTAGATCTTAGTGAGGCTTTATTTTAGCTAGAAAGGTAGTATTTCTTAATTTCATAAATCATAATTAAAAATAACAGGGCTCAACCGAAGATGTTTGGTTGGGTAACTTTAATGTCATTTGAGATGCTTCAGTTCTCATCTTTGTTCTGTAGCTCTAATTGATGTCAGTTCAGGTTGAATGAAAATGCACATCAAAGATTTGGAATTCTGAACCATTTTAAACGTTACGCAGAGTGCTCCTTCCTGCCTACCAGGCGTTAGCCTGCTTGTGCAAGCCAGCAGCAGCCTGGTTCACCTGCGCCTCCTCACCTGCTGGCAGTTAGAATCTATTAGAGTCTGCACATTAGTGAAGTGGCTCAAGGGATGTCCCCAAATACAGATTCATCTAGAAGAAAAGACGTAAACATTGAACTGATTATTCAACTACCCATTCTTTTTTTTCAGTCTGAAAGATGAGAAATTCACCCAAAAAAAAAAAAAAAAAGAGAGAGAGAGAGAGAGAAAAGTAGCTACTGTTTCTGTGTTGCCAGGCATAGCTGCATATTGCCCTCATTGAATTTTACTTTGGCACGGGTAAACATGCATATCATTCAGTGAGGTGACTTGGGGTATGAAAACTTGCCTTTGCCATTTATCCTTAGTCCTGCGTCTCGCCTGAAAGCTGCCCAGGAGCTGTTTCAGAGAATGTGCAATGATAAATAGTAAATGTGGGAGAAAACCGTCATAAGGATAAGATACTGTCAGAAGTCAAAGGGGTGGGCGGGAGCTCTATTTCAGCTGGTGATAACAGAAGATGAAAGATCTTCTGGGGATGCTGGGGGATCATTGCTTGAATTACTGCTGTTAAACACACTCATTTTGTTAATAGCTATTTTTTTCCAAGCACCTTTTCCAAGCTGCCTGGGTAAGGCTGCTTTGCATGTTGATTGGGGGAGGGGTAATCCCGTTTGCAGCTGTCATAGGCCAGTGATGAATCACTATCCCGTCATTTGGCTGCCTTCCCCCCCTGACAAGGGGAGGAGGAGGATAGACCTGCAGGAGGAAACAACAGTTGAGGCCTCAACTTAAAGACAATATGCCTTTCACTGCTGCAGAATCCTCCTTTTTCTCCTTTGGCTAAAAGCAAGCATTGTCGGTCTCAGCCATGTGCTCTGTATAATTAAGGGCTGACACTGAAGCACAGTAACGACAGCTTCTAATTTTTTACCCCTGACCACAGGTGCAAACATCTCAAGCCAGTTCAGATGTGGCTGTTTCCTCAAGTTGCAGGTAAGGATGTTGTTGATATTCAACATTTTTGTAGATTACCTTTCTGTTACCCAGATCTATTTTTGTCTAGTATTTCTTAATTATTAATAGTAACAGCCTTGGTTGGAAATTACTTAACAATTTGTGTGTGTGCTTGTAAAGAAAAATTATGCAGGAAAGGAATGGGAGTCTTGGTTTGAAACTCATTATAGCTGTACTAGAAAAACTGTGAATGTGGAATAAGAATTAGGGAGAAAAATTGGATTTGAAACCATTTCTAGTTTGAATTCAGAAGATTTGAGGAAGTAAAGACTCACTTCAGAAGTAAAAATGGCTCATGGTAAACTGTTTTAAAAACTGATATCCACAGTTGATTTAAGTGCAGCATCTAAATCAAAATAACTAGACCCTTTATTGACCTGGTGAGGTGAGGAGCAAATAATTCTGGCTTCATATATGTAGCATTAAACCTCCTCCTCCCTTATTATTATTATTATTTTAGAAAAAAAAATTTTTTAAGTGAATGGTCCTTAGACTATTAAAAACTTGGCTGTCAGAAGGCAGAACAATAATAACTTAGGTGTGTTTTAGTGGCCTTAATCCTCTCGTCTCTTTATTAATAAGAGTATTAAGTACAAATGCTCTGAAATTGTGAGCATGAGTAGGGGCTTTTGTACCTCTTACAGCCTAAGTAACTGCAGAATCTAAGAACTTTCAGGGACATCGAACTGTTTTCATAGGGTGAAAATGCAGAATTAAAGCAGTGAAGTAGAATTGCCCTCATTTGCCTAAGTGACAGCTGAGGTATTCCGAGTGCTAGAGCTCCTAGGACTCACTGTATGTTGGCCTTATCCCTTTTCAATTGGGCACGCTGTATGTAATCCACAAAGCAAACAAGTGAGCCGACATCATAATGTTTTAATGCTGCATTTGTTTCAAGGGAAACAGAGGAACAATTAAGTAGTTTGCCAGAGTAAACACAAGCATCAGGACTATCTCATCCCTTGTCACTAGACTATAGGTTTCAAGTGTTTTATTTGGTTTTCAGACCCATTAAATTACAATTGGGTGGTGAATTATAAGGGAGTACCTAGTGTTAATTTATTAGATGAAACAGATTCCATAGAAAAGTGATTTATTTCTATTAGACTTGTTTATAAATTTTTCTTTTCTTTTAGAAAAGTAATGTCTTTGGGGCATTTTTTTCTTTCAAAATTGAAATAGATGTCATTGTCTAACAGACCTTGTGACTTGATAAACTGTGTAAGGGACCCTTACATCGAACATTTGACTGGATAGGAAGGGCAAGTGCATCTTTTAATAGTACATACAATGAAAAGATGATTGCAATCAAAATGCAAGATGAACTGTTTTGAGTCTAAGAAAACAGATACAATGGGACTTTTGTGTCAGTGTATTTCAAAGAAGGTGTCAAGTCGTTAGCGCATTAAACAGTGGTGTTATGAATTTGGTACATCTGTCAAACGGAAGACTTCTTGTCTTTAGGTCTATGGAAATGCAGGATCTAACCAGCCCGCATAGCCGTCTGAGTGGTACTAGTGAATCCCCCAGTGGTCCCAAACTCGATAATTCTCATATAAATAGTAATTCCATGACTCCCAATGGCACCGAAGGTGAGTGTCTTGCCTTCTCACTCCTTGCTCTGCACCTTGTTTCTTCATCAGTGTGTGCTTTGTTACTAGGTGGTTATGATTTCAGTTGTCGAATCCAATGGGCTACTATTCTACTTGCCCTCTAAGTAATTGGACTTAATCTGTATTCTTCATTACTTAGGGGCTCTACAATACTAGGTTGTCGTGACATTTTATAGCTGATTTTATTTTACATATATGCATATGTATGTGTATCTTATACATGTGTGGACATTTAACATTATTAACCTTTGAGTGTATTTTATCTCCTTGTGAGAATGTTCACAGCACAGTATCAATCTACATTGTTTTGCTGTCTGGTCAATGAAAATTTGCAATTATTTATTTTACTTTCAAGTTTGTTAATAAATACATCCAAGTTTGTTTAAATGCAGACATGGATTGGATTATTTCTAACAATCAATAAAATAATTTGAGTGTCTGATGCTCTTGTGTTTTTGGCCATTAAAATATAAATAAATAAAGACACTTACTGATTATAAGATATGCAACCTTATTTGGCAGGTATACAAAAAATTTAGTACTGTTTAGTCATAGTACTGTTATATAATTTCTGTACAATTAATATATATGAATATTCATGTAAATTTTATGCAAATGGGAGGACCTACTTTAATCCATTTATACTTCAGTCTAAACATATAAAGTTGTATGTATGTATTGCTTTCTGTTATCAGGTCATTTAGGTGCTATGTATATTTTTATAACTTCAGCATATGCAAGAATATATTACATCTGGCATTGTATTTATTTCTACTTTAGCCTATTGAAAAATGACTTCTTCACAGATATTTATGCATATTTATTTCTTATTAAGCCTCAGAATCTTGATGGACTCAGAAAATAAGTTTTACTAGAAGTTCAATGGATTTCCATTTTAGGACTCCATCCATAGACAAACCCTTAACCACCAGTTTCCAATCACCACAGTGCTCTTTTATCACACAGATTTTACAAATAAGCAAACTAAATACTATAAAATGATTACATTTTTCATACAGTATTTGAATATGTATCAGTGAAGTAATTTGAAACTTGTAATGTTATGAAATTTATAATAGTTCAGATATTAAATTCAGTTATTTCTGATGTAAGCTATCTGATTTTTATACCAATACTGATCATTTTTGCATATAACTTTTCTGTATTTTTCTTTAAGAGTAAATATATTCATTTCTAGTATTTATGGAAAATGGTTGTTGTCAAAAGTAGAGATTTTGTTGATCTAGGGAAAAAAATAACTGAATAAAATGCCTTTCCATCTGAAACTTCTTCCCATTTCAATAGTCAATCAAACAAATTTAAATTATTTACAGGAAAGGAATTGTAGTATATAAGTAGATTGTGTGGAACAAGTAAGATAAAAGCAAGCAGTCCTATCTCCTCCCACTTGGGAATTTGGCTTTAGGTGGAGCATCTCCACTGCAAAGTGCAGGCTGAGTCTGGAGACAGTCAGTAACCCACCTCAGGTACCCGCTCAGGTGGCCCATTTCAGCAGCAGTGTGTTGGGAGGCCACATAGGTGCAAACCTTTAGCAGTTGCCATCACCAGAGAGTCCAGATAAGACAATCACTTAAAAAAACTTAAAAATAGAGGAGACTAAGCATGCTTAACAAAATATATCAGTATATGTTGGGAATAATATTTATAAAATACCAACAGTTAATTTTTTGTATGTGAAAAAAATGAAATAAGAGTGAGAGTTTATATCTTCTCAACATTTTACTGGCAAGTCATTAAGAACCACTCAGTACTGAAGAAGAGTAGGTGTTTGGGGACTGCTCCCTTAGATTGCTTTTGCGAATGAGGTATGGGTTGTTTGTAAGCACATTTGGAGTGCCATTTCTGAATATTTACATTTTGAGAGTTGATATCATATTCAGTAATAGTGAATCTTGTAAATCTTTGCATAAGTCAAATCACCTTGGAATAATAAAATATTTTAGATGATTGTGTAATGTCCTGAATCATTTATTCTGGGAAAAAATTAGAAATTATATTTATCCTAAAAAACTTAACTGTTTCATGTCTTGAAAATGAATTTTTAGGCCTGATTTCTAAGAAATACAACTTACTCATCTCTAAGAAGTACAACTTATTCATCTCATCCTGTTAATAGGCATTGTTTGCTGTCGTATTTTGCAAGAGTTTTAATAGGTTACAAAGTGAAGTAAGAAGGTGTTAGTGTAAATTATCCAAAGTGTTAAAGGGATTTTTGTCAATCTATTGGAATACTGTTTCGTTTTGGTATACAGTTTGAAAACATGGACTCCAACTTTCTTCATGGTCCATGTTATATGCATATTTAGATCCAAATAATATCAGAACTTCTAGGTTATTGAGTCTGTGAATCAATTTATCTTGATACTTTTTTGTTTTATCATATACATGTTTCATTCCTTTCAGCCACCACTAGAGGAGTTATACTTAAAATTACTAATTCATTAACGTCTGGAAGACATTGCTGGGATATAATCATTATAGATTTTTCTGTTCCTTCTTTAAGATCTTACTTAGTCAAAACCAGTAGTGTTTACCAATGAATTGGAAGAATGAAAAAAATTAAGTCTTTAAAATATCAATCACCTCCCCTAACTCTAGAACAAACATTTCCAGATACACACACACACACACACGCACACGCACACGCACACACACACACACACACACACACACGTGCACACACCGTGATTTGTATTTAAGTGACTTCTCTGCAGCCCAATTGAACATAGTCTCAGCTCAATTGAAATTAATTAGGTCAACAAAACTTCCATTTAGTTTACACAGTTGTTGGCTTTGTCTGAATTTATATAGGCTGTCTTCTCTCACTCAGAGCCATTTTTTACTTCCTGCCACCACTTGTCCCTATAATGAGGCTAAGAAAACAAGAAAATCTCCTGTATCAAAAACCATAACTTCTTTAAAGAACAAACAAGAAGGGAATGGAATGGAGAAGCAGAGAATATTAAGTTTCTTCTAAGTCTGCTGCCAAATTATCATAAGACTCAATGTTCATAGGTTCTGCTCTCACAGGCTAGTGCCTATTTTCATGGTTCAGCTAAGGGATAAAGAAAGACCCTGAGCTACAGCCTCAAGTACTGTGTTTTCTTATTTCCTACATGAAATGTTCCTCAGTTATAATAGTTGTTTGAATGTTTCATGTTTCAAAACTTTGAGCTCTTTGAATTTTTATATTCCAGCCTCTTTGTGAATCCTTATTGCTGCAGTTAAGTGTTGGTGTTACCCAGGTTATAATCTTTGAATATAAAACACAAATAGGTAAAAATACTAAAATAGTAGCATGAGTAAAACCTTGAATGGCATCACAGAAAACGCAGTTAGAATTAATGAATATTTCAGTTTCTATTGAACAACCAAAGCTTAACCCAGAAGACACTATTGGATGCTTGTGAAAACACTAAATGTGGTCTTTTAACTGTTTTCTAGTCTTTTGAACAGTTAATCTTCCAGGGCAGGGTGGAATAGACAATTCTTATTGGTTGTTCAAGCATAATTTTTAAGAAACAGGTTTTGGAGTAGTGATGCTTGTGTTAGAGGAACATCAAATTAAGGAATGTGAGAGGATTTCTAATGTTGGGCTTATGTTTAAGCCTCTATCTGATAAAGGCTCTTTTTGTGTTAAGTGTGAGAAGTAGTTGGGAACCCTTCCTTCAGAAGGACTCAGTATAGCAGTAAAAGGATTTTTATTTACATACCTAATTAGGGCCTGTTTGCAAAGCAGGGATTCTTCCCATCTTTGTTTCCTCTGGTTGTCTTAAGCCTATGGGAGCCTGAGATTGGTCAGTTCCTCTTTCTCTAGTTTGAGTGTGTTTATTTTTGGTTGTCTGGGGATAGAGAGTGGGGAAGAGCCAAAAAGAGGTGTGAGTGAAATTAAGAGCTTGATTGGAAGTTTTCCTTATTGTAAATTCAGAATCAAACTCGAGAAGAAGCTTAAACTGGTCTTAAAACAGATAAATATGTCTTTTAGTGACATAAAACCAGATGCAGTTGAAATTTTCACTACAGAGTTTCAGGTTTTCTTTTGGTAATTCAAATAGTAATTTTTGAATTGGTATATCTGATTTCCAACATGATAACAGATTACAGTCCTGAATTAGGTGACTAAATTGTCTGCATTTAATTTATTCAGTTGTGTTTTGCATATTTTAGGATGATAGGTTAATTGAGTTATACACATTTATGTTGTCAGACTCTATTTTAAGCTATTGTCATTTCTGCAAAGCTTAGAACACTAGTAAATGATCTGAACTTGTTTTTCTCACTCTAATTTTAATTTAGTAAAATGCAGTGTTACCCAATGAGTGTATCTTAAGAAATCTTATTTACAGGAAATATCTAAACTGAAGTGAATGTGTATAAAATTATGGTTTGAGGCTGCATTTTATAGGCCATATTTATTTATTTGTGGTTAAATATTCTGATGTCAATAGAAACATGGTAATCTAATTTTATTATTTACATTCTTCACATAATTCAGTTTCTGGGAGATTAAGGGACATCATGAGTAAAGAAGTTTCTAAATGACATTTTTGGAGTTTGTCTACAGCCACAAAATTGGCCTCTTAAGATTATTCTTCAGCAAAAGTTGTGAAAAATAATTTGCTCAAATTTAACTTTTGTTATATTGTACACACACACACATACATATATATGTATATACACATGTATAAACATGGGAATAATTTTCACCTGCCTATTGATAAAATGACTTTTTATAACTTGTTAATCATTGTGCTAACAATTTTCTATGTTTTGTTGCATTAATCTTGAGAAAAATTCCTGGAGATTACCAACAGAATGGCGAAGAATGTTTGCTTGAATCCTAACTCTATGATTTACTGGCTGTGGGAACTTGGGCAAATGAGCTTCTGTGTGGACTCACTTTTCTCATCTGCAAAACGGGAATAATAGCAGAACTTACATTAGGCTTGCTGCTGTGT